GGAGGAAGACACATGTAGACCTCCTCATGTAAGTCACCATTCAGAAATGCATTCTTTACATCYAACTGATAAAGAGGCCAATCAAAGTGAGCTGCCAGAGATAAGAGAACCCCCACAGATGTCATCTTGGCAACAGGGGCAAAGGTCTCTAGGTAGTCAATCCCATATGTCTGTGTGTAGCCTTTTGCAACAAGTCTGGCCTTGTACCTCTCAATAGTCCCCATCAGCCCTGTATTTAATGGTAAAGACCCACTTGCACCCAACTAGATCCTTCCTTTCAGGCAAATCCACCACCTCCCAAGTATCATTTTTGTGTAGAGCATCCATTTCAGACTTCATGGCGTCTCTCCATTCTGGAATCCCAAGAGCTTCTGACACAGACCTAGGAATGGGGTTAGAAGCAACTAAAGAGAAGTAGGCAAAGTATGAAGGAGAAAGTAGATCATAAAAAAGGTGTTTGGAAATGCAGTGTGCAGTGCACTTTCGCTTTCTTTCCTAACAGCAATGGGGACATCAAGATCTGGGAAAGATGGTTCCAAAGTGGCTGAAGCAGTACCTGCTATCTCATTTGTGATTGGGAATGTATGAGTCTCATCTGTTGTAAGGGAAACAACTTGCTCATTCCTGGATCTTTGCCTTTGATACACTTTGGGATTATGGGTAGGACGAGGAGGTAAAGAAATAGGGGCACTAGGGCAAGAGGAATGAAGTGGTTGATCCTCCTTTGAYTCATTTGGTGAGGATACAGGCTTGTCAAGTGACTCAACTAGAACAGGAAGAGGAATAGCAAATACTTGTGACAGACTCTCCCCCTGTTGTCAATGTCTTTCCTGAGATGAACCATAAAAAGGAGAAAGCTCATCAAAGGTAACATCCATAGAGACATGTCGAGTGCCAGTCTTTGGCTCAAAACACCAATAACCCTTTTGTGTGGGGGAGTAACCAAGGAAGATGCATTTGTGGGCTTTTGGTTCAAACTTATGTCTCTGGGCACTTGGAATGTGAACATAACAGGTACAGCCAAACACACGAAGAGGAATCAGGAAGAGATCCTTGTCTGGATGAAGAAGACTAAAGGGGGATTTAAACCCTAAAACCCTGGATGACATACGGTTTATAACATAGATAGCAGTAAGAATATCATCACCCCAAAATCTTGTGGGAACATGTGAGGCAAACAAAAGGCTCCTTGCAACTTCAACAATATGTCTATTTTTCCTTTCAGCAACTCCATTTTGTTCAGGGGTTCTAACACAGGAGCTTTGGTGAATAACCCCCATGTCAGAGAGATACAAGGATAAACTCTTCTCAAAATACTCTTTTGCATTGTCAGATCTGAAAACCTTAATT